GGGGCGGCCGGGCCCTCGCCGTGCTGCCCGGGCGGTCCCAAGCCCGCGGCCACAAGCTCTCCTCCCGCCGCGGCCGCCCAAGAGTCGGGCTGCGGGCGCACGCCACCAAGCCTGGCCGGGCGGTCTCGTTTCCTGGCCCCCTGCCAAGTGTGCGACTCAGCGAGAACCACGGGCTGGCGTTTGGGGCCAGTTGCGGGGCCGACGCGCGGTCCTCGCGTGTGCTGAGGACGCTGCATGGACTCGCAGCTCCGAGCGGCTTCTGAACGCGGTGCACGGGTTCTCCTGCGCTCTCGTGAGCGACCGTGACCTCCACGACCACGACGCGGCTTCCCGGCCGGGCCACACGCCGCCAACGTTAACAGCGAACTTTTACCGACAGGAGCAGCTGTCATTTTAAAAGCTTCCTAAAGCCGGGCTCGGCTCAGCCCGTCATCCCGCGCTTGGGAGGCCGAGGTGAGCGGATGGCCTGAGCCCGCGGGTTCGAGACCCGCCTGGGCGACTCGGCGAGACCTCATCTCCACCATCAATCAAAAATCAGCCGGCGGGTCGAGGCTGCGGGGCTGGGAGCGGCCGCTGCCCTCCAGTCTGGGCCACAGAGGGAGACTCCGACTCAAAAAAATTAAAAGTTTCCCATAATATAGGTGATCCAGTTCATGAATACGGCCTGAGATATCAGGACTCAAGTAAAATTATAGCTAACTAGTTGCTAAAGAAAATAGTGTACTGTACTCAACTCCAAAGCAGGCTTACATTGGCTGTTTTTGTGCCACAGAAAACATTTACTGGACCGTGTGTACTCAAGTTTCATATACATGCCCACTTATTTTCCTTTAAAATTTCTTTGGCCCAACAGATGCAACTTGTTGAGAACATGTTTATTTTTCACGTCATAACATACACAACAACCTGTATTTATCAGAATCAACTTGGCAATTTACATAACAAACAGCTTTGTAAGATGAATATTTTGCTCTTGAAACTGCATAGGCTGGGCACAGTGGTCATGCCTATAATCCCAGCACTTTGGGAGGCCGAGGTGAGAGGACTGCCTGAGTCCATGGGTCCGAGACCAGCCTGGGCAACTTGGCAAGCCCTCATCTCTACGATAAATCAAAAAATTAGCCGGGTGTGGTGGCGCATGCCTGTAATTCCAGCTACTTGGAAGGCTGAGGCAGAAGGATCACTTGAGCCTAGCAGGTTGAGGCTGCAGTGGCCATGAGCATGCCACTGCACTCCAGCCTGGGCGACAGACTTAAACGTGATTTCAACTATAACACTCCAACTCAGAAAAAAAGAAAAAAAAGAGTCGGCATTAAAGAGCTACACAATACTTCTGGAAAAAAGCTTTATTATCATATATTCTTAAGATTATCATTTCTCCAAGTCACAGAAGAGTTGCCAAATACAGGTGTGTGAAGGAAAACAACAAAAAGCTCGAAGCCAATGTGAAGACAGCTCCCCTGTGCGAACAGGTGGCAGAGGAGCAGGGACTACAGACGAAGGAAGCCACTTTCGTGCTTCACAGTTTGATCTTTCTGTTCCGGAATACATGCTGTTTTCTCCAGATGAAGAATTCACTTCAGAGAGTCCCTTTATCTTCCTAGAATTGGGATGTTTAGTACTATCCCCGATTTCTGAAGTTATCCTGAGTCCTGGGATGCAGAGCGTTTTATCTGTCTTTCCGCTGTGGATGAGAGTAGCAGAAGCGAATGCCAAGACCAAGATTTTTACCCTCCTAAATACTTTCTCTTCTAGAGAGCAAATCTGACACAAAATGCAAAAACTAGGAGATAATTAAAAAAAACAACCACCAAAAAATGCAAATGTCCTAAAATGTCAAATGCAGTCGTTTCTAAATACGAGAGGCCTTATTATAGCTTTGCCTGTTGTTTCTATGACTCCTATACTGCTTGCAGATGTGACATCACGCCAACTTCGCTGTTGGCTTTACTCGCACAAGATCCTGGGGATAAAATCTTCTGGGCATTACTTCTAATGTGCCACAACCAACAAGGACATTCCAGGATAGCTCACAACGACACCATTTACTGAGACAGCTGGTGATATAATGAACTATTTTGTAACTAACTCACAACACTTGTAAAATGCTTTGAAAGCTGATCTCATGCTACGTTTTTTTGAGTCCGAACTTTACTCTTATACAGGTAGGGGTCCGGTGGCACACTCACAGTTACTGCAGCCTTGACCTGCTGGGCTCAGGTGATCCTTCTGCCTCAGAGTTCCACACAGCTGGAATTACAGGAGTGCGCCACCACACCCCGCGACTTTTTTTATTAATTGTAGAGAAGAGGTGTCACCAAGTTGCCCAGGCTGGTCTCGAACCCCTGAGCTCAGGCAGTCCTCTCACCTCAGCCTCCCAAAGTGCTGGGATCATAGGCGTAAGCTACTGCTCCCAGGTTATGCTACATTCTTGATTTAATACTTGACTGAGCCTGGGTATATATTTTTCTATTACTCTAACCTAATCTTTGATTCAACCCACTCATTTATGCATCATGACCTTGATGTAAACTATAACACTAAACAGATTTCTTCTCTTCGGTGCTTCAGTAAAATCAGCTCACAGACTACTGTCATGAGAGGTTAGGAGATTCTTTACACAGTCTGATTCCTTGTAACTGCGGACTCCCACAGGCCTCACATCCAGGGCTCCCACCCTGCCCAAGTCCTGCCAAGGATGTTGGGGTCTGTTGCCTGGTCAATCAAGCACTTCACTTGCGTCTCTTCTGAAAGTCCACTCTCTGGCTCTCGGGCACGGATGTTGTGGTCTTTGCTTCCTCGCGCTACAGCCACATAATTCCTGAAGGCAGATGACTTCTCATGGCCCAGAAGTAATTCATCACTGAAAAAAAGATTGAACAAATATGAAAACACAAACCATGCATTATTTTTTTTGTTGCCTGCACTCCCAGCGATCTTATTCAAATTCCTTCCCACTTTTATCGGATATTTTCTGTGGTTCATAACCTTTGTGAAAGATTAGATCTATAGGAAACAGAACAAAAATAATGCTGCTGCTAATATTCTTTTAAAAGTTTTTGTGTGAACGGGTGATTTTATTTCTCCTGGGTGAATTCCTAGGATTCACCTAGGAGTGGAATGGCTGGGCCAAATGGTAACTGCATGTTTAACTTTTGGAAGAGCGCCCAGACTTTCCCCCCAGCAGTGGGTGAGGATTCCAACTTCTCCACATCCTTGTCAATACTTCTGAGGACCCCAGGTTTTGATAACAGCCATCCCAGTAGGGGTGAAGTGATAACTCATTTGCACTTCCCTGATGACTAGTGATGCCAAGCATTTTTTCATGGGCTTATTGGCCATTTGTAAACAGAGGGTGCCAAAAAATACGTACAAATTTTAAGAAAGAAACGGCATGCTCATGGCTACTGCAGCCTTGACCTGCTGGGCTCACGCGATCCTTCCGCCTCAGCCTTCCAAGTAGCTGGAACTACAGGCGTGTGCTACCACGCCCAGCTAGTTTTTTGATTTATTGTAGAGATGAGTTGGCCGGGCTGGTCTCGAACCCCTGGGCTCAGACAATGCTCTCACCTCGGCCTCCCAAAGTGCTGGGATTACAGGCATAAGCCCCTGCTCCCAGGTTACGCTATATTCTTGATTTAATGCTTGACTGAGCCTGGATATATATTTTCCTATTACTCGAACCTAATCTTTGATTATATAAAAGCCGAAAATTGTAATACTCAGTATATACTGATAACAAAAGATGAATACAAGCCACAGTTGACTTATGCAATTACAAGAGATGCTCAAAATAGTTGCTACCAGCATCCAGACACTTCTGATCATGGTGAACTAAAAGTGATACACAGATAACATCTTTGAAAATGTGTACACATTTTTTTTTTGGCCCCCCTGGTATTCTCCTTAGAGAAATATGGTGAATTCCTTTGGCTATTTCTTTTCTTTTTTTGAGGTAGGGCTTCACTCTGTTGTTCAGGCTAGAGTGCAACGGCACATGCACAGCTCACTGCAGCTTCAATCTCCTGGGCTCAGGTGGTCTTTCTGCCTGCACCTCTCCAGTAGCTGGGATTCCAGGCGCACACCACCACACGTGGCTAATTTTTGATTATTTTGTAGAGATGAGGTCTTGCCAGGTTGCCTAGACTGGTCTCGAACCCCTGGGTTCAAGCAGTCCTCCCACCTCGGCCTCCAGAGCATGAGTCCTTTGGCCCTTTGGCCACTTCTAATTGGATTGCCTTTTTTATTACTGAGTTATAAGAGTTTTTTAAAAAACGCATTCTAGATGCAAGTTCCTTATCAGATTTATGACTTACAAATATTTCCTCCCATTCTGTGGATTGCCTCTACTTTCTTAATAATATTCTGTGCAGCACAAACATTTTTAATTTTGATGAAGTCCAATTTATCATTTTTTTCTTGCTTGTGTTTTGGACGTCATACGTAAAAATCCCAAATGACAAAGTCAAATCCAAGGTCATAAAGATTTACCTCTGACCCGCCTGGGCAACTTGGCGAGACCTCATCTCTACCATAAATAAAAAAATCAGCCGGGCATGGTAGCGCGTGCCTGTAGTTCCAGCTACTCGGAAGGCGGAGGCAGAAGGGTCACCGGAGCCCAGCAGGTTGAGGCTGCGGTGGCTGGGAGCGGCCACTGCATTCCAATCTGGGCGACAGAGTGAGACTCCAACTCAAAAAAAAACCAAAGATTTACCTCTATGTTTCCTTCTAAGTGTTTTACAGTTTTAGCCCTTATATTTAGGTCTTTAGTCCATTTCAAATTAATTTTTGTCTATGGTATGAAATAGGATCCAGTGACATCCTTGGCCAGCACCATTTGTTGGAAAGGTCACCGAATGGTCTGGTACCTTTGTTAAAAATATGTGAACCACAGATTGCCATTTACAAGTACTTAATTCTAACGTCCACAGGAAAGAAAAATCCTTGAAGCTAACCTGAAGGCCAACCTAATTTGAACTCTCATCTAACAAGCCCACACTGTGTTCCTCACACCGATGTGCTGTGTTCACCAGGCTCAAATGGGTCAAATTCCCAAAAAGGACAGAGCAATTTTACACCCTAAGTCTCCTCGTGTCTGTCACGACATTCTGGCAACTGCTGGAGCACAGGCCTCCCGCTCCTCACGTGGGCACTGCTGCCGCAGGGACTGGCTCGAAGCCTGCAGGACAGGAGGACTACAGGGGTCGCGCACGCCCTCCTCATCGGCAGAGCAAGCAGAGCCACGCCCACGCCACAGGCCAGACAGAAGCGCTCAGCACGTGGTGCACATATTGCTTCTTCCAGAAACGGCAGCATGCTGGTGGCCGGTTACTTCTTCCACAGATAACAACCTTACCAGGTAATAGCTGCTGGATTAGCACCTGCTAACTTTCTCTTGGCATAACATAGTTTCTGTCGAGGATACCAGTTTTTTTCAGTTACATTTATTTCTTGAATCCATGATCCTCCCTTTTTCAGCATTGTTTGTTCAAAATTCTAAAAGACAGGAACACAATTTTCTCTACTTAGTGTAACAGCTATACAATCACATCTTAACAGACTGAATCAAGTAAAGGTCTCACAGTTAACCAGCTTCCACAACCAGGAGCAACCCTGCACACATGCAACGAGTATGAGGCCTCGGTGGAGCTTGCAGTGTCACTCCCTGCACAGGAAGAACACCACGAGACTGGATTCCTTGAGGCTGTGACACGAACAGCCTTTGAGACCTAGAAAGGCGCGCTCTTTGTGTTCAAGGAAGGCACCACACGGGATGGCTATGAAACTAGAAGTTATGTGTCAGAGAGAAACTAGATCTACCATCATCAATGGGCCCATATTCCCTCTCCCAGCTGGGAGTATACTCAGTTGAAGCAACGGTTTTCTCCAGATAAAGGTTTTGTCTCTTATCTGGTTTTCAGGCCAAGCAACCTCAAGTATTTGTGTTGAGAAATGCCATACAAACTAATGTAAATATGTTCGTTGACAGGACTTGGTCCACTTCTGTCACTTGACAGGGGACACTGGATAAATCTTTGGGACATTGTAACGAAAACAAAACCTACTTTCCAGTCGAAGGAGGGCTCCTTGACAAACACATCCATGGTACTGGTGAGTAGGTCTGGCTCTGCGCGAAAGGCTCTCAGGGCATGCACCATGACACTGTAGATGAGGCCCGCTTCTTTCAGCGGCAACATCAGATTGAGAAACTGGCGAGTCAGGCGGAAAGGCATCAGCTCAGGAATAGGCAGAAGCTAGACAAGGGGGAAAGTACACACCAGCAGTAGAACACATCAACGAGAAGTCTCAAAGTGACAGGCACAAACACGACATCCTCTCAAGGGTTAGGATTCACATATAGGAAGAAAGTAAATCCTCTGCTCTTGAAATCAGCTACGCAGACGGGACCTCCTGGGCGCAAGATGTGAAACCCACGTGGAGGGATCCCCCCACCTGCACAGGTTCAGAAACGTGACCGACGACCTGCAGAGGAGAATGTCCCAGGAGCAACGCTTCACCTGTGGGGCTTCAAAAAACTCTCCCCAGAGTCCTCTCTCTTCACCAAAGAACACATTTTACTCCTGGCTGTGATTATATGACTTATCACCACAATTCTGGGCCCGGTCTAACAAGGTGGAAGCAAAGTGGAGACTCCCTCACCGAAAGCATGGATGTCAGATTTAATGGCTGCAACAAAACCAACCTTAACTAACGTGTCGCTTTTTCTTTAAGAACTGTCCGTTTCTGGAGGGTGTTATAAAGTCATATGGCAATTCCAGACAAGCCTGGAACGAGAGTAGCACCAGCGCACCTGAGTGGCCGATCCAAACGCATGGCCAAAATCGATCCCGATCATGCCTCCTGTCTCCGTGGTCACCAAAAAATTGTTGAGGTGTCTGTCTCCGATCCCGAGGATCCAGTGGCTGACGCATATCAGGGCGTGAGAGCTGGCAAAGTGGGAGCGGAGTGCCAGGAAGGCCTCGGGGCCAGTGCTCATCCTCACAAAGGCCTGCCTGCGAGAGACACGCAGCTGTGGGTGGTGCTGG